GTGTTATATTTGCTAGAGCATAAAAGTAACTTCAGTCAAGTACAGGTATGTAAGGGCTCCTTATGATTCCAGCCTCCAAATGCCACTGCTGTACAGTAACAGGCAGTATTTCTGTAAGGTGTATGTTACCAATTTCCCGACTAGCATCTCTGCAGTGATTTTGTGTAGAGCATATTGCTAAAATTTGAGAAACTGCATCAGTGTAGTGATGTCTACAGAACTGTGCAATGTATCAGCTTCAACATTCATGTAGTATTGTGTTCAAAATGAGAGGGCTAAATAAACTAAGGTCTGCATCACTTAAAAAAGAATGTAGTGCTATACTAGATTTTAATAAGAAAATTTAGGTACAGAAAAAGTAGGGTATGAAAATAGTGTTTTCCTTCTGGCATTATAACTAAATTACACTAAGGTTTTTGTCAGTCTCACATATAATATTTAAACTCCCTTGTTGGTGGAATGAAAAATATTCACAAATTAAGTGAGCATCCTGGTGTAAACTTGCACACAATAACAGGGAGTAGCTTGGTAGAGGATTATGACAAACCTTTACAGATTAAATGAGGTATTGCACAGATTAATAAAAAAAGCAAAAAAGGCAACAAAAATATACAGCAAATTGGTAAAACATTTACATGGTAATTTTACAGAATCCATAGACAGAAAGTAGTGTTTAGTATTTCACCTTAAAAATATATATATAATATATAGATCAGTCTTCCCATTCATCATCGTCCTCAAAATCTTCTTCATCATCTTCATCCTCATCTTCATCTAGAAGAAAATCATCAACACAAATTATTAAACCCGTGTACAAATAAAATATTACAAATGGTGTTTTCTCCAATTATTCAACTTCTGAAACATAAACCATTCGATACCTGGAGGAATCTAGTTACTAAGATAGTTTAAAATGAATCTAATAAAATACATCTAAAGAATCTGATGGCGAGTTGAAGATTATAACAGGAATCAAAAGACTTAGGTTCTAGTCCTTTTAATATCTATGTTAATACATTACTGTGTTTCTTTACATGTAAAAGCATTTAGGTTGGTGTCTGAATTTTATACTGACACACTGCAAATCTAACTGCCTTCTTATATTCTTCACATGGATTCTCAAACTCAAAACTTCTAAAGTTTCATTACCTTCTCCGACCTGCTTCTCCCCTGCCACCCTATTCTAATCACCATTCTCTCAGGTGTTTAGGCCAAATTATTATTGAAATTTTTATGGATTCCTCTGTTTTCACCACCTTTCCACATCTAATCCACATCCAGTCCTTTTTACCACTTTCACTGATACTCCATACCACCATCATATCTTGCTTAGATTATTGTAATTCCATACTCCATTTGTCCTAGAGCAAATGGAGTGATACTTAAATTCTATGTTTTAAAAATAATATGTTTCTATCCTTTTTTAAGTCCTGGGGCTGACCACTGTTCTTTGAATGAAATCTGATGTGTTATCTCATTCTACAAGACTTGCAGACATTCTTACATGATTTGCCCAGTTATTGTCTCCCCACCTGCCAAAACTTTTCTCATAATGCTCTCTCCTTCAAGTCACTGTTTCTAGATGCCTAATCTTCTTTCTGCCACTTAAACATGCTGAGTTTGTTCTTGTTGTAGAGCTTTTGCAGTAGCTATTCCTTCTTTCTGGCTAAGTTTTCTCGTCATTTAGGTTCACTCAAAAATCACTTCCTCAGAGAGGCCTTTCCTGATCATCCTATGTAAAGCATAGCCCTCTCCCCACAATCGGTAACATTTCCATTTTATTTTCCTCACGACAAGCACCGCTACCTAAAATTTTCCTATTTTGTGTACAGATGTCTTCACACTAGAATATAAGCTCCATGACAGCAGAGACTTTGCCTGTCTTATTTATCACTGAATCCTTAGCATTAGAACAGTGCTTAAGCTGTTCAATAAATAGCTGTTGAGTGAATGAATATTTAGATGTTATCAAATTTTATAAGCATTCTTCTGTATTACACTAACTTTCTATAATTACTGACCCTTTAAAAAACTATAGCCCTCATAAAACCCTGAAAGGCCAAGTTTGTAAGTAAGACAGTAGCTGAGCAACTCACTTGCTAATTAATACTTTAGCCATTAGAACTGAATACATGACATATACGTGGGCTAGAGGTACAGAAGACAGAATAATCTTCCCCCCCACCCCCATAAAATAGATTGTTTGAAGGCTTCTACAAAGAAGAACTCGAACTCTAGTATTAGAACTTGGAAATTAATAGAAATCAAGAAGGGAAAAGATATCTTCCCCTGGATCCAAACTAAGCTTTTACTTTTATAAAAATAATAATTTTATTTAATTAAGTCTGATGGTCAGCTCTAAATTGTTACAGAATTTATTTCGAAAGGAGTTCAATCAACTTCATGCTAACCTCTGTGTTTGTTTTTCTAATAAGAGAAACAATTTGTTACCAAAAGCTTTCACTAGATGTGCTTTACAGAATTTACCTGGAGGAAGGCATCAAGTACATCTAACTATGCATGCATTTACAGAGTAACAAAGATAGGCATTTATTAGCATCTATGATAAGAAGGAAGAAGTAGCTAATAATTCTATCATCAGATTCTACCACAGGAGTAATAACAGTTAAAAGAAATGGGTCCAAAAATAAATAAAAACCAAGTTATATATTCATTATATTAGCATGGTTATAATCTTTTTAAAAACTTACTATAGGATAATATTTAGCAGAACCCTGAGGCTTCATAACAGAATGCTTTCTCATGATCATGTATCTCACAGAAATCTTACATTTCCCTCATCTGAGCTGAATGAGGACCTTTTATTTATATCTTTGACATTAGCAGCTATCAAAATTCTACCTGAACATTAGAATTTTCCATATCTGCAGTTATTTTTTTTTCTTTTCCTATTCGGCCCAAACTTTGCAGTGGTTACTCAAAATTCTCTTGCTATTTCAAGCTTTTGGCACATGACTCGACAATAAATGTTCTCTCCTTTCTGCCATTCACTGTATTAATATTCAGTGATACACTGATAGATGAGTAATTTTTTTCTGCTCTCAAAAGTGTCCTGAGTGGTGGTGCGAAGAGAGGTGTAAGCGGATAAACTATGATTTAATACATGTGTCCAAATTACTGCTGGATATTATCTGACACCCACCTAGGTCATAAAGGTAGAGAAAATATTCTACCAACAAGTATCAATTTAAGTAATCATGTTTCCACAATAATGTCAACATCAATTGCTATATCTTCAAATAACAGTTTAGCTAACTTTTTAGCACCAAACAGGTCAGAATGTCAAATTTTTCAAGAGAAAAAATTTGGTCATCTGCTGATTAGAAGAATGTAAAGTAGCAGATGAATGTTTTCTAAATAAATATTCAGAGAAGTAAAAACGTCTAGGAAAACAAAGGCCTCTTTAATAACTATCTTTAAAGTAAAGATGTAAAAATACAACCAATATACTGTTAAGCTACCAATTCCAGTTTTAATTCCAGTGACAGGAAATTCATTGACATGAAACCATAAAAGAAACAGAGCAGGTAGTCCCCAAACCCAGTCTCCAATTCTCTCCTGAACCCAATGACCCTGCTCTTTCCAGGTCACCTACTGTTGCTAAAGCTAAAGCTTAATTCCCTTTTCTCATTTTCCTAACCTATCAGAAACATTTGACCCACAGGATCACCTTATCCTCCTTCAAAAATTTCTTCACCTGGCTTCTAAGATACCGCATCCTCCAGCCCTCAGACCTTATTATACCTTCTCTGTTTACATCCACCTCTTTGCTGAGCTCATCTATCATCTAGTTCTATAACTTTAAATACCATGTAATCTTACTGACATGTAAATTTATGTTAATAGTCCAGATCTGAATACCAGACTCATAACCAAATGCCTACTCAATATCTCATTTGCATTTTTAATTATCTCAAATTTAATATTTATAAAACCAAACTCCTAACCTTTCCTCTCAAACTTGCTGCTCCTCCTAAGTCTTTGCCCAACACATTCGTGAAAATGTCACCCTTTCAGTTACTCACATTAAAAATCTTGGGAGTCAGCCTTCACTCCTCTTTTTTTTAAAACCTCACTTCTAATCCATCAGCAAACCCAGTATTTCCACATTCAAAATATAAGCAGGGTCCAACCGCTTCTCACAGGTGCTACCAACTTGATTCAAATTTCCATCACCTCTTGCTTGAATCACTCCTCTGCTAAGAACCTTCCCAGTGGTTTCCCATCACATTCATGGCCTCCAAAGCCTTAGTGCTGGCCCCTACTAACTCTCGTACTTCTTCCTAACCACTCTTTACCTCCTGCCCTTGCTCTAGCCATACTGACCTCTTTGCTGTTTCTCAACCTCAAAGACTTTGCACTTGCTATTACTGCCACCTGCACCCACTTTGCCAGTTTTCTACATGATTCACTCCCTGAACTTCTTCTAGTATTTTCTCAAATGTCACCTCAGCCTGGCCTCATCACCCCATTTCGAAATGAAGGTTCTTCCCACAGCCTATAAATCCTTGTATCTCCCTTTTCTGCTTAATTTTTGTCCTTAGTATATACCACCATTTAACACACTATGTATTTTTCTATATATTTTATTGTCTTTCTCACTAGAATGCATGAAATTCCATGAAGACAGGAATTTCTGTTTTCTTATAATTATTCCACACTAAATATTTGTGGACTGAATTAGCCTATCATATCCTTGTAACACAATATGGATACAAATACACTGATTTAAGGAAAACAAATATTGCTTAAGGATCTTAGATATCTACATCCTTAGAGAAACAAAGAGAAGGAAAATAACATTTATTGAGCACCTACTATTGGCTAGGCAACTTGGTTAGTTACATATTATTTTACTTAATCTTCACAATCCTATGACTTACGAATTCTCTCCATGTAACAAATAAGAAAATCGAGTTCCACAGAGAGTAAACGATAGATTTAGTAAGAACAAAGATCTGATTCTAGTACTTCATGCTGGAAAAGCTCTTCAGTAAACCTCAACTCCTACATCGACAAAACCCAAATCCTTGCTCTTTTTAAAAAGCAGGGTCAAGCCTGGTTAGTATTTGGATCGGAGACCACCTAGGAAGACCAGGTACTGTAGGCATAAAAAATAAGGCATTGTAAGATGACAAGGTCCTTGCAATCTGTGAGGTCAACCAAGGATTGCCTCGCCTAAAATAAACAAACAAACAAATAAATAAAGCAATATTTATTTACATGTGGTGGGCATATACTTAATAATAATCTCAGCATAGGAAGTGGTTTATTCAAGTAATTCTTTTTAGGAAATAATAAAAAAAGAGAAAAAAATTTTAAGATTCTTTAGCAGACTCCAGAAACACTGTAAATTATCTAATTTCTCAGCCAAACTCTTACAAATCAAGAAAACTTCCCGAATTTTTTACATCACAGGAATGTCAGGAATGAGACCTAGGAATCTCAAGCCTGTTTAGAGGTTGTTTGCCTAGCATTCTATCAGTATTGCCTAGTTATAGGAAACAAAATAGCCATTTTTCGAAAGCTGTCCTTTCAATTTGCATTTATAGCTGTGGTAACCTGACATCCATTCAGATAGACTAGTCACAGTGGTTGACAACTTTTAAAAATATGCCCTAGAATCCACATCAATAAGTTATTCAACAGCAGGGAAAAGCTAGCAAAGACTGAGTCATAAAATAAAAACAGCAGAACTCAAACATTCAAATTTATTTAATATACATATATACATGCTAATATACCTGAAGAATGAATGGCTTTGCTCCTTTTCTGCATCACTTCCATTAATGCACCCACAATTCCTGAAGTGGGTGCAGGTGTCGGTGGTGTAGATTCTTGGCCATCAGATACCTTGGAAAAGAAAGTTAGCAAAATTCAGTAATAAATCCTTCGCAAAAAAAATTTTGTAACCAGAAAGTGTTTTCTTAGAATCAGTTCTCATTTTAAAAGAAAAACAAAACAAAGGAAAAAACAAAAAAGCCCAGGACACGATTAAAAGAATTATTCAAGCTATATCTCCTCTCCTTTTTAATGTATAAGCCATCACTATTTTTCCAAATTTAGAGAAACAATCAAACCCTTTCCTGAATAACACATGACCTTGCAGCTGGGTTACAAACCTGGGTTTATCCCAGGACACAATACCTCAGGTAACAAAACTTTAAAACTATTATAAAGAGACATCATTTTATATAACTAAGGCAATATTTAGATTCCCAGAGTTGTTAGCTGAGAAGCACACTTAAGATACCTAAGAGCAACTGAAAAGACTTATGTTCTCCTAGAAAAATGCAGCTTTGTTAATAATTCAAAATGAATCTCCCTTCTCATGTCATATAACTTCTCTTTAAGGAGATGAGTTGGGTAGCTTTCAAAATGTACCTACCTCACAAGGCAACTATCCCTAACTAAAGTACTTCTCTCTGCTACAAAGTACATTTGGGGGAAAAAATCAATATCAAAGACTCTCATTAAAATCTAATGTCTACACAAAATTATCCTTAGTTCCAACACTCATATTAAAAAGCGAAAATACAGAAGTCGGTAGAGATTCAGGGAAAAAATACAATTTAGAAAGTACTGCTTTAAGTGCATTATGACTAATGGGCACTTGTTTACACAAACTATTCATTTTGTTAATTTTGTCTCTGGACACGTAAAGTTATTAATATCGGTATAATAAAATAAAATAGCATAGCTGTGATAAAAATTATATAAGTTTTAATACAGATAGATAAATACAACTTGAAATTCTAAATTCATTTCCCCAAAACAAATTACTTTATTAGGGCAAACTTTTCATTTTGGTCTTTACAACTCTTCTAATATTTCTTGTCTTTCTGGACTTAACAATCTTTTACTTTTAAAAATATTCAAAGTAGTTCCCAACAAGATACAGATCCACTCATTAGTATTTAAGTTTCTAGAGACCGTATATTAACTATTCCTGGTATAGAAGTGCCACAAATAAAAAAGATAACAGAAATAGTTTTAGAACTTTGAATTTCAGCATGAAGCCCTAAAAAAAGTAAAACAGTAGCAAGGAGAAACATTTCAACTCCCTCCGAGCGATCTGATAATACAAAGCAGAGAGCACTGCAGGAGCACAATGCTGTCATAAACGCGTGTTTTGAAGCACTTGGACAAGGTGTTATCTGAGGTACTATGAACGTGGACTTCAAAACGTATGTTAAGTAAGTATTTACATACTTCCTGCCAGCTTTTAAAAGTAAATGTTGTTTTATGTTAGTTATTCATCACAGACTAAATTGATGATTTATACAGAATATTTAAAGAAACATGAAGAAATTGCAAGCACAGATTGGTTATTTTTTTAAAATGAAGTAAAATTATGGACTCAGATCGCATGTATAACATGACAATAATTCACTGATTATGCACTTTACAATAATACTCCAAACGCAATCAAAAGGAAGGTGATCATTTAGGATGAATATGGCCTACTATCCTATGCTTAGAATGGAAAATGTTTTTCTCTCTAAAACATTAAAAAAGTTTTAGGAAACATTTTTGTTCTCTAAAAAGAAATTTAGAGAACAATTTACAAGGTTTTTCTTTTCTTTCTTTTTTGGTGGGGAGGTTGGGGTGGGTAAAAGTGATGGGGAGAGTAGAAATATAACTCACTGAATGTTTAAATTAAGAGGACACATTTGTATTCATTAAAAATAAAACGCTTTATTATTATCACAGAAAGAAACAAAAGTTTGTTGTAAAGAAGAGAGGAAGCAGAAAAGAGAAACAAAAAAGCAGGTTAGGAGTGGGAGATAATGGGAATGAAAGTGACGTAGGAACTACATAAATTACAAGGTAAATGTTGACAGTAAACTACTTTCAAATCTGGTATTCACCTGGGCTGTGGTCATTTTGACATGAATTTTCCCCACTAACAACTATTTAACTTCAACTGCTCCTGAGGAATCTTTAGTCTGAACTAAATGGGGAGAGGGAACAGAGATGTTTGCTCACAGGCTGATCTAAGTATCATGCTAAATGCATGTCAACAAAAGATCCAGATGATATTTGAAAAATCAGAAGTTTCTTAAATCTGTGCTATGCTAATGTTTAAATGTCTTCATTCAAATAGTGTGTTCCCTATTCATCATCATTCTCTTCCTTGCCAAAACTTCTGAGAAAGTCACCATAATTCCCTCCCGACACTGCAAAATAATTTTCAATTAAAATCTCCTTCTTACGTCTCCATTTACTGCAAAGAAAAATCTACCATCCATTACCCGTCTGAACCCCTGCATAGCTCCTCTTGAAACTGAGAGACTACATATAAAAGCCCAGAAGGAGTTGTGAATGTAGGCAGGTTAGACTCTAGGACAGGAGTTGGCAATCTACTGCCTATGGACCAAATCTAGCCTGTGCCATTTTTGTATAACAAAGCTAAAAATGATATTTACATTTTTAAATGGTTGAAAGAAAATCAAGAGCATTTGTGACATGTGGAAATTACATGAAATTCAAATTTCAGTGTCCATAAAGTTCTATAAACATGTCCACTCAGTCTATGTCTGCTGTTTTTGTGAGACAATAGCAGAGTTGAGTAGTTGTGACAGAGATCATATGGCCTACAAATCTAAAATATTTACTATCTGTTCCTTTAAAAAAAGAGTTTGCCAAATCGAAATAATCGTCTCACCAATTTGGAGAATCCAAAATTATCTACTATTGCTATCAGAAATTCTATTAGAACCCTTTCAATTTTCTGTAGTCTGATTCACCACTCATCTAAATTTCAGAACACAGAAACTTTAGAATATGGTTTCAATTCTACCAAGTTACTGATTTAAATTTATGTAGATGACTATAATTAGTTTCGAGTAGAGCTATTTTTACTTCTCCATAGTTTAATAAAGATTTTTCTTGAAATTAAAGTGTTTTATTTAAAAGTAAAGTCTAGAAAAATGAATTGTAAAAATACTGTAAAATTCCATTTATGTGAAGTTCTAAAACAGACAAATCTATGGTGATGGAAACCAAGGTAATGATCCTTTTTGGGAGGTAGACTAACTGGAAGGAGGCGTGAGGAAACTTTATGGGGTGATAATTTGATACAGAAGTATGGGCTACCCAGGTATATAGGTATAAATTTGTACACTTTATGGTATATAAAAATATCGGAAATTCACAGGTTAAAAAATGAATACCAAGAGAAAAGGGAAAAAATAAAGACTTTTCAAAGATGTCTTATAAATTAATTTAAAATTCCATTATGACATAAAAAAAAAAAAAAAGAACACGTTACTTACAGATTTCAGCTGAATACCCTGTCGTATTTGGTCTAAAAGTGCATCCCTGCCCGAGCAGGACGCTGGTCGGCTGTTCTGTTCCACTTTTTTTAGCTGAGCACCCTCTCTAATTTGATCTAAAAGAGCTGCTTTGTTTCCTGCAGTTGGAACGTGATGGTCACCATCAGAAGGGAGGCCAGGGGGAGGTGGTGGCCCTGGTGGTGGTGGAGGTGGAGGTGGTGGGGGTGGTGCCATGGACCCCGTCAACACTAGAGGTGGCGGTGGTGGTGGTGGCCCTGCAGGTGCTGAGGAGGGAAGGGCTGGAGGTGGAGGAGGGTACATCCTATTTGGCGGTGGTGGAGGGACTCCTGCGCTTGGCCTGGACGGGGGTGGCGGTGGGGGTGCGGCTGTGGGTGCTCTTGAAGGTGGTGGAGGAGGAGCGCCTCTTCCTCTGGCAGGAGGCGGAGGGGGCCCTGAGCTATGTGGAGGGGGAGGAGGGGGAGGAGGCCCTCCCCTCGATGGTGGTGGAGGTGGTGGTGCTGCAATAAAAACAGTAAAAAAGAAAGCATGTTTTTTAACCCCATAAACATCATATTGAGAAAGTAACTCACTCTAACATGTATAAAAAAATAATATGAGACCTAAAAAAAAGGGCCTCATCTTTGTGTTTTACTTTACAGAGATATATGACCACAGACAATATCTTATATTTAGGAATACTCAGCTTAAAGATCACCATCGTGTTTCTTGAAAAAAATATTATCTAAAACAACAGAATTTAGTTTTTATGTATCAGCACCACTTCTGAAGGTAAGGAAATAAACACTTTTTATATAATAACAAAAATATAATAATGAAATTAAACATTTTTGTCAATAAGCATTATTTTACATTTTAATGAAAATTAATGGATAACTTCCCTCTTTAAAGAATCAAGTATATTTAGTTGTTTTATAAAATTAATTTATATTCAGAATTAAAAAGTTAACGTAGCATAACCTATTAGAACTTATCCACAGTAATCTGAGCTAAACTCAAATATAATACTTTTTCTTTTAAAATGGAAACCTTTGTCTTCTAACTTACATTTATACTTTATGTCCTATATTTTCTATACATATAGACTATATAACAATATTACATTATATGTTATGTAAACATATATAATATGAAATATTAAATGCAATATGCTATAATAATACATAATAATATGTATAATGTCCTATATTTTCTGAAAGATGGTCAGTAATTCTAGTGATGGTATTAAGAGAGGTTGGTTGCCCAGGTGAAATGTTCAACTATTTATTCAGGAAATATGAACTATTAACAAATTGAGAATTTCTATACATTGCAAAATTAAAATTAATAAAATATTAACATTATTCTGGTAGTAATGATATTTACATTTTTATTCTACTTAAATGAAAATGTAAGATATGACAAAAAACAAATTCAAAATATGAATCTGTTACATTACTGAGGGCATAATTTTACAGACAGTATACACGAATTTATATAACAATGAACTTCCTCATTATTTCTCCATTCATTTAAAAACTGAATGGAAAAATTAACTATTTTTAGGAATAGAGAAATCCCAGACTCCATAACAGCTATCTGTATTTACTGATACAAACTATGTTACTGATGGACAGTTCTATAATCTATATAAATATAAATTCCTACCTTAATTACAAATAACAATGCAATTATACCACAGAGAAATAAAACTGCTCGCTTCAAAGAAAAGAAAATGGCATTTTCCAATTTCATTTCGGAGAATCATGGAAAACATGCTATTAAAAATATGTTATCAAGAATAATCACAAACATTAGATGAAGCATGCAGAAAGGCCAATATGCACAAGGGTATTATCTCCTGGAATACAATCTTTTATAACTATTAATAATATATAGCTGCAGAGGTTCACCTACGTAAATGTAGGCCATCATGGAGGAAGCGCCTATGATTTACTCTGAAGGCATACTGAAAGTCTGGGTGTTGTGCTAAGGTAGGCTCAATTTTCTCATTGGATCGAAAGCAAGATCTTGTATAAGATATTTTGTAATTCAAGGGCAAAACCAAGAGGATATGATATATATGTATTATGTATACTCCCTGAATAAGACAGTACCATCAAATCCTTCAAGCAGATACAAAGACTTTGTTTTAATTAGTTTAAGATTTGTATTTCAAATACCAATGATATTTGCTTAGCTAGCACTTTTATGATTCAGCTGTTTGTTAATCAAGAAGAAAAAGACCCACCCTATTCTACTACAAAAGGTATGAGTCAACCATTTCTGGTGGTTTTACTGAGGACTCTGGATCCATAATCTTTTATATGTAAAATGATATATGTCTTCAGTAGAGAGAATTAAAGTTCCTTTGATCTATATTGGAATAATTTGCAGTCTAGTTAATACCCACTTAAATAGACACTAAATCACTGCTCATGGAAAGGGAGAGCCTTAATTTTTAACGAAGAAATAGTCAGCTGCATCCAGTTTTGAGTGAGGCACAAGTTCAGCATTTCTATTATTTCTAAAAGTGACTGGAAATGGCTCTATATTTTCGTGAGGAAAATATCTATTACCAACTTTCTATTTTTATAGTATGTATTATGTCTACATAAAAAGGAAAGTACACAGAAGACATGCCATTTCCCAAGGTAAAAATGTGAGTTAAGGAATTAAAACAGGAAAGGACAGATAGCACAATGTTAGGTTTACATGCACAAAAGTCTGCTAAACAGATACCACACACTGCTATGAGAAAGTCTGATGGCCTACAGATATTCAAAACTCTAAGAGTCACAACACGGAATGAGATGACAGTACTATTCCTTAGATTAAAAAAAGTGAAAAGCATGAAACAGAAGTTACGACAAATAAAAACTGTTCTTATAATCAAAGCTCAGTTAAAAAAGAGAAAGACTGAAGCTTACAGAAATAAGTTTGTGACGGTACACTTAAAAAGACTGATAAAAATAATAAATTCAAGATCAAAATTAATATTAAGAGTAATTGGTAGATAACTCTATATGTTTGACATGAATAGAAATTATAAACAAAAATAATAAAATAATACTTAAAATAAATGTAGTCTTATAGAATTCAGGAAACATTAAAAAAAAAACTGCTCTCATGCACTGTCATCAAGATAAAGAAAACAGAAAAATGTTATTCAACAAATTAAAATTAATGGGAATACTGACAATTCCCAGAGTAGGCATTTATAGAACTGCGAATTTATGCTTATTATATAATAATAATAATAATAAACTGTGGTGCTATGGGTAAGAAGAGTTTTTAAAAATCCATAGAATTTCAATAAAATTATCTAAATTACAGATGAAATATGAGTTCTGACTCATATAGAAATAAATTTTCTTTTCACTTTAAGTATCTACGTGCCCAAAACATTAGTTTGAGTAGAGGGCAGAAAACCTCACTGGGTGTTAGATCTGGAGGCAGGATAAATGAACTCCTGCTTTTCTGAAAATAAATTCATCACAGCATGCATACTTTAGTGCACGGGTCAAATAACATCCCACATACATACCACTCCATTGTGGTGGACCTACAGAGCAGATTATTATGAATTAATGAACTTCACGCAATTGCACATATACAAAGAAAAACATAGGAAATCACAAGTCTACTTTTTATAAACCTGATTACATGATTTTACAAAATAAGTTTCAAGAGATTTGATTCAGCAGATTTTACAAATATATTTTAAAGACAACTTCATAAACTTCTCCCTCCCTAATTTTTTTTATACTTCTGAACATATATGCTCTGCCTAGAAAATATTTTCTTAAAGAAAATAACTTTTCACTTTTCCTTTAAAAAAATATACCTTTTATAAAAGCATTCTTTGGAGTCTAAAAGGTTCCGCACTGGAAGTTAGGTTCTTGAGTATTGTAAGAATTAACTTCATTTCCAAAGCATGTTTTTTAATACTCTTGTCTTTTTTGTTTTCAGGTAATTCAACTAAGGAAAGACCTTGCCTAATTTGATGTTTTAAAATCAGCTAGAATGACAAATGGTAATAATAAAGTTTAAAAAACAAACCAAATCAAGTTAATATAGTCAACTCTTAGTTACAGTATTCAGGTAAAAGGGCAGTAGTATGGATGGTCTAATAAATGTCAAGAATAATATATATTTATAAACTCAGATTGCTGAGAGAGACCCTGAGCATCATTTGGTGGTATAAAGTGAAAGTGAGTGGTAATGTGAAGAAAAGGAAAGTCAAGGAACACACAGGGGATCTAAAGATTTTCCATCATATGTACACTAACAGTGACTGTGACTTAGTACTTCTGGGAGCATTTATAAACAATAATGGTACCGTGCTCAAGATTCTTTTATTGAAAATCCACAGAATCTACATATGTAACCATTTCACAAAAACAGGTAAATTTGTATCGTATTAGTTTCAGTAGAACTAACACTGCATTTCCCCAATGGCAATTATCACAAAATACTTGTTTACATATGTTTCCACACTAAATTATAAGATTTCTGAGAGCAGAAACCACATCTTTATATTTTAATAACCTGAATAGAGACTAGTGCCGGCATAATCACGTTTACTGAATGTCAGAATGACTGAATCAAAGACTGAATGAACATCAGCAGTGAAAAAGATGTAGGTAAGTCAAATACCTAAGTTAAAATGACAGGTAAATTCTTCAGAAGAATGCTGTGATTAGCTAGAGCTTTAGTTTTGCTATACTGTCTAATATGAATATACAAAGCAGTCCCAAATAAATAAGGTGGCAAAGAAACAATTGTCATAGTGGAAAATTTAGTTACTGTATTTGCATTTTATTCTAATAATTATTAAGATAATACTAAAATAAAAAGGAGCTTTGATTTTTAAAATGTTGCAAATTATTTGTACTCTCAGATATCAAATGACAAATTTTCTGCTTTATCTAAGAAAAAATGTTTGTATTTCAAAATGCTTACAATTTACTCATTAGGTAGTGATTATATTTAAGTTACTACTTCTGAATTGTAGTAAAAGCAACTTTGTGGCTTCTAAGATTCATTAAGTAAAATATTAGACAATTGTAGTTTTTTATTCTAAAGTAGAACTGCCAGAAGATTTTGTATGGATTTACGTGAATAATAGTAATAATAAGCAAAACCTTGTCAAGTTTTCTAGATATACCAAAATAATCTAAAACATAGTACACTGGGACAAACTAATTATACATAAACTCAAACATTCTGCTTAAGGAAGGTTCACATAAATGTGTGTAGTTGTCTTCCATGAAAGTAACCTCAAGATTCAAAGGAAAAAATAGATCAGAATGCATAAATAGAAATAAAAGTTACCTTGCCTTCGTAGTTCATTTTTAACAGCTTCAACTCCTCCTGTTTTTTCAATGAAGTCATATATGACTTTTGATGTTTCTCTGTCTTTAAGCTGTGCCTCTGATATTCCACACAGATCAAAAAGATTCTTCAATTCTGGATCCAAATTATTCAGCTACAACAGATAAATAACTATTAACTATAAAATCTATCCCAATTTTTAAAAATGAGCATAATAAAATTTAATTCTCATTTGTGACCTTTCTGAAATTATTTCAAGTTTCTAAACTTTTAATATGGTTATATTATTTATATGCCAATAAACTTTCTTATAAAAAAAAGAAAAGATAAAAACAAAGAACAGATTTTATCTTTTATCTCATCTTCTTTGTTCCCTGCCTTCAAAGAGTGGGCACCTCATTCAGATTTTTCTAACCAATTCATGATTCGAACATCTTTAATGTTCACCTATTTTACCTTGTCCTAAATAAGATTTAGGTATAAATAAAAATAAATACAAAAAAAGTAAATCAATTTGAAAATATGAGGGCAAGACCTCCTTATAACCCCAAGCACCCCAGTACAGTGCCCAACATAAAGAGGCACTCAATAAATGTTTGTGGAGTTAACACTATAGCTCTAACAAAAACCACCACAGGATTTTTAACTTCAATCACAGATATTTCTTTTCAAAACAATGTTTCCAAATCCTGGTTATCTATCAAATATGAAATATCTATTACTTAGGTAACCAAAACAGAGAAATACTCTTATTTTTGCCAGCAGTTTCACCTAGCTATCTAACAGTGCTATAAATTAATGAATACTGAAATTGCCAAAAAGAATAGAAAGATCTAGATAGTTCGACAACTGGATATTCAGAATTTTATTATAGTACTTTCCCATAATTTTGACATATAGTCACCTGAAATGATCATTTAGCAGAAATAATTTTCTTCTCTTGGCTTTCAAAACACAGGATTTTACTTATACAGTACATAAAGCCAAGCCACACAAAAACTTTCTCTTTAGAGACTTAGCCATGAATGGTAGAAAAATGCTATGGTTTCAAACCTCAGTGGTATACGTACATAAACACAAGCACATTCAAATAAACACTAAAATTCAAAAAATAAATAATAAAAATAAAAATCTAAAGATAGGCCATAACATTCCCATACATTTAGAGTAATAATGTTTATGGCTTGAAAAGACACTTACATCAAAGCCAGTATTTGGATCCCAACCAACATGTCCAATGTGCCTAAAGTAGAAAAGAAAAAAAAAAGAAAGAAAAATAAAGTGCGCAAAGGACATTTAAAAATGAATACATGAAATCCAATCCACCCATGAATTTTTGGCCTTAACTAATAGTTCTCACAGACATAACCATAATCAGGGAAAAACTGTACAAGTTAGGAGACCAGGTCTAGCCCAG